TTATGTTTTTAATCTTCTGTATTCTTTTTTACAGTTATATCACCATTTTCATTTAGAACAATGTAATGATTGTAGATCAGTGCAGAAATGTAAAGATCTATCCTTAAAATTATAAGTAATCAACCTTAATATAAGATTACAGGATTTTTATGCCTTTTAAAGGCAATCTGATATTTCTACATGTTGAAATGTAGTGTAATTTTAGCATCTTTCCAATAGTAATGATGAAATTAATTAAAGTATTATTATTACCGAAATCATCTCAATAATTTAAACTCTATAAATCAATGTAACATTAAAATCTTAATCTACAACACTCCACTTTATTTAATTACTCTATGCAGACTCAAATTTTAAATTTGCCGTCAGACAATGATGACAACAGTGATTGGCCAGTTGTTTAACGAGGCTGAGGACTGACCAATGACTGTGAGTGCTGACCAATCAGATCCATAGGGGGCGTGTCAGGACATGTTGGCGCTGAATTTGAAAGACGTACGTTACAGGAGACGTTACTGGAGACGTTAGCTGCGCTGCCGTCCTGTCTGGACAGCGGGACTGCTACGGAATAACTTCACCTCTACATTTAATTTTTTGCTTGAAAGAAGCCACAGCGGACACATGAACCAGCCGCTGTTTGAGGTGAGTGTCTCAGCAGGTGAATGATGTTTTCAGTAGTGATGGGCAGATGAAGCCTCATGAAGCCTTGAAGCGTTCCACCTAATTGGTTCAAAAAAAGGTTCATTTCTTGAAGTGTTAAAGACTGAAAGCTAGAATATGGAAGCATTGTGGCTTCTACAAAGTTGACTGTATGTATTTTTATGAGTGTTTTAGTGTCGGCTGAGGTCAGGCTAACCCTCTCTCCTGAGCCCAGAGAGCCAAACTCAAAGCCTGGTCCACAGAAGGTTTTGTTCTGTCAGTTTAAATAACAGTTGGCCTGGTTGTGATCCCTTCATTTCATGTTTTGTTTTATGTAGTATTAGTGTTTAGATTTTTTCAGAAAAAAGGCCACTCATATTAGAAATGATAATTTTAGTCTCTAATGAATGTTTGTCTGGAAAACGCCAAAAGGTTTGCATGGATTTGTTTTAAATAAGTGTCTGTTTCTCCATAGATGGACAATCTGGAGTGTTCAAGGAGGATCCCACAGCCATGCAAGTAAACAGACTGTTTGAAATTATTCATCCACAGTTTCTCCTGCACAGTATGTATTGTCCACACTGAATGTATGCTAAACTGATTTTTGCATTTGTTTAATTTGCAAGAAGTGCTTACAGAGTTAAATGGCCCTGACTTGAGTTCAGATATTGCTGATCTTCATCAGCTGCTCCTGTGCTTCACAGGTGTGTAGCAGTGTACAGCTCTCAGTATGCATTTACTGCATAGCGATAAAGGCCTCAAAATTATTCTAGTTGCGCATAAACAGGTAACAAGCAGATTCTGTTTGTCATGGCTGTCTGTCATAAACAAGATATTCTGTGGTGGATGAAGGAATAACATGTTTGCAGGCAGTTTCAAGTAAGACTATTTTTTTGTGTTCATGGGAAGAACCCGTTGCTTACAATATACTGTAGAGACAATATAAGGAATAACGTTTAATAATTTAAATTTGTCTAGAAATATTGAAAATGTTACATTAAGTGGAAGGTGAAGAATTGTTAATATACATTTGGAGATTGCCTTAGCTGTGTGTTACATGTTCTAATATATTATCCTTTCTCCGTCAGATGAAATTTTTGAAATATTTGTTCATTTTACTAACATGACTGTTTAATACCCTGCAATGTACAGAGATTATCTTTGAATATAGGCTACCTGTTGATGTAATTTGATGTACAGTGTTGGATTTATCATTGTCCAATTCTCTGAAATGACTAAATATGTAGAAATTTCTATTTAATTAAGGTATTTTTTTTTTTTTACATTTACTCATTGTCATTGTTTTTATTTAAATGGGGAAACCACAATTTTACAGCAAGTCAGTATAATGTAGACAACACTGTGTATTCTAATGTATTTAGTTTGTTTGTTTACTATCTAATTATCTTTTTTTTTTTTTTAAATCTAGTAATTCTCTAAAATGATAGATTAGTATTGTAAATTATCAGATATTTATCTTTGTTTTTTGTGAACTTTGTAATTGTACATGGAAAAATAGTATTTTAACAAGACATGACTGTAAATAGACTTTGCTGTTTCGTAAGGTAAATAAGGAATATTGTAAAATTACAGAAATCCATCTGAGAAGTATCACATCTTTACATGTTTTGACATAATAAGTCTGTTATTTTACAGTATATTGGCAATATATCAACTTCAATATTCTGTAATTTAATTCATTATGACTATAAAATCAACTTTGTATTTTTACAGTTCATAGTATGTAATTCTACAAAACAGTTATTTACTGTAATTTTACGGTATCCGTCTGGAAACTTTGCTGCCAGTACTTTCACCGTTTTTTCACAGATTTTTGAGGACAGTAAATTTACAAAGATTTACCGAAAAGATATCATACTTTAATGCTTAGATAGAGATAAAATGTCTGTTAATTTACAGTGTATTGAACGTTTATCAACTTGAATATAATGTATTTTAATGAATTTTGACTGTAAAATCTGCTTTTTTACAGTTCATAGTATGTAATTTTGCAAAACAGTTACTTACTTTAATTTCATGGTATCCGTCTGGAAACTTTGCTGCCAGTACTTTTGCCGTTTTTTTTACCAGTTTTTTTTTTTTTTTTACAGTGTAGTGTCTGTACTTCCACTGTGAAAACGCCAACTTTCCCTCCAGACTCACCATTGCTTCAACTTACCTGCTAGTTAGAGTGTGTGGGGCTGCTGTGTGTGTGTGTGGTTTGTGTGTAAACGGAACACTGCCTCTGATTGGCTTACCATGAAAGCAAGAAAATAGTGAACAGCTGAGCAGCTCCTGAGGCTGAGAGCCAAGTCGGATGACAAGAACTTCAATGAGTAGCTTTAGTTTATAACGCACCCCATTTAATTGTCGGTAATGGTAACGGCATTGTAACGATGGAAATAGTAATTAGTTAGATTACCCGTTACTGAAAAAAATAACGCCGTTAGTAACGCGCTTTATTTTAACGCTGTTATTCCCATCAATGGTAGTGACAGACACTTCAGTTAAATATAACATTTAAAATGCGGCACAGAGAGGCGGGAAAAAATAATCTTTCCTAAGTATGAAGCAACTACAGGCCTTTCTTTCTTTCAGTACTTTATAAACTATAAATGAAATATGAAATCTTTCCAGTGTTAATTAAAATGAACCTCTGCTGTTGATGCTGATACTGTGATGTCTCTCTTCACCTCAGGTGTCTGAGATTCACAGAAGATCTTCTGAGTGAAGCCAACAGAAGGAAAACCTCATCTGGAGCCGTTCATCTGGTTGTGAAGAAGACTGAATGGACGTCATCCTCAGTGAATCACTTCCAGTTCAGCTTTCACTTACGGAAGGACAGAGCAGCTGTTTCAGCAGTTTTTATTCTCTGTTCTTAGTATTCACAGGTTCCATTTATTATTAACTTCATCTCTGCTGTTGTTGCATAATTACAATACGGAGAACATGATGCTGTTGCATGTTGCTTCCTCAAGCGAGGGAGTTTAAGTATCTCGGGATCTTGTTCACGAGTGATGGGAAAATGGAGTGCAAGATGGACAATCAGCTCGGTACTGGACCGTCGTGGTGAAGAGAGAGCTGAGCTCGATTTACCAGACCTTCTACACTCCAACCCTCACCTTTGGTCACGAGCTTTGGGTCGTGACCAAAAGAACGAGATCGCGGATGCAAGCGGCCGAAATGAGCTTTCTTCGCAGAGTAGCTGGGCTCAGCCTTAGAGATGGGGTAAGGAGCTCGGACATCCGGACGGAGCTCGGAGTAGAGCTGCTGCTCCTTCGCGTCGAAAGGAGCCAGTTGAGGGGGTATGGACACCTGATTCAGATGCCTCCGGGGAGGCTTCAAGGAGACAAAGAGCTGAAGTTCAACATTATTGTCATTACTGGAATAGATGAGGAGGACATCAGTGCTGCTCTTCCTCACAGGGATGAAGAAGAAGGGAAGACTCTTCACCTCAGACAACCTCAGCTGAATATTGATGTTCTCTGTAGATCTTAGATCACATCAGACGGAGATGTGCGTGTTATGCTCTTTAATGCTAACGTGCCAGCATTACACCGTCTCTCACTCATTGCTTTCCCAAGTAACTTCCTGACCAATGCTTTGTCTGGACCCATATTACATAAATCTATGTTGTACTGATAAATGTTAGGATATGAGAATTACTTAAAAGACTACTATGGGAGGTGGAATTGCTTCAGCCCTCCTCCTTTATCCGGGCTTGGGACTGGCAGAGTGACCCAAAGAGACACTCTGGCATAGTAACTGAGGTTTTTTAAAATTCTTTTTAATTTTTAATTTGGTTAATTTTTTTTGGTGTTGAGGTTAGGGTCAAATTTGGGTCGTATGAAAACAGTGAATCATTCAGAACTGACCTTAAATTGATTAATTTGATTGAACTTGTTTATTTGGTGAATTTGAATTCATCTTTCTTTTTAAATTTTTTTTTCTTTTTCTTCTTTTTTCTTTTCTCTGATTCTTTTCTTTCCTTCTTTTCCTTTTTTGTTTTGTTTTGTTTTCTTGTTTTTTTTCCCTTTTCTTTTCTTCTAATTTGGGGCAATTTAGAGTGTCCAATTAGCCTAACAGGTTTTGTGTTTTTTTGGTGCTGTAGGAGGAAACCGGAGAACCCGGGGAAAACCCACGCAAACACGGGGAGAACACAACTCCACATAGAAACAGGTGGAGGTGTTTCTGTGTGGCTGCAGTGCTAATCACTGCAGCCACTGTGCTGCCCTCAGGGGGGACGGAAGGGGTGGGAGGTGGGGAGAGATGCGAGGCCGATTGGAGGCTGACTGGAGGTGGGGAGAAGATGGGAGGCTGGCTGGGTGAGGAATGGGGGTGAGGGGTGGCTAACTAATCCACTAAGAGAAGCATCTGTGGAAGGCCTTTGAAACTCTTCTCATGATGCATCTCAACCAGCTTTTCTTCTTGGTCTTGGTTTTGGCCTCAGTTTTAAAATCAACCCCAAGCAAGGGTTCCTGTGATGTAGCAGTCAAGGAGCGAGTAGGGCATAGGACTCCATCTTCCATGTGGCTTATTTGAATGGTAAAGTCCTCGGTTTCGCTGACGTTGGGGTCTTCATATTTCTCCCTCAATGTAGCAGCCTGCTGGGGATTTGGGTCCCTTCCTTGTTCTTGTATGTGGCTGGGAGCAAAGAATTGATGCTCTAGAACCTCCCGAGCTTTGATCCTGTTAGACGCATCAAGGATCAGCATGCTTTTGATCAAGCTGACGAACAGCTTCTGATCATTCTGGTGTTCAGTGTCTTTCTCCATAGCCTCCTCAATTTCATCCAGAGAACTGAGCTTGACTTTCCTGGTATCTGATGCAGAGTATCCATGCTCATAATACACATCTTCTGGAGTCATAAATCTCCAGCGTGATGTGCCGTGTTTCTGGGTATAGAAGTAAGTCTGAGTGTACAATCCACTGTCCAGGACGTCATCAGGTGGCTGGCCTTGGGTTTCCACGACGAATCGGAGAACATCGTACTCCGCATCGCCTGGGTAGAGTGCGCATCCCATTGCCAGCTCCGTCATTGTAAGACCCAGAGCCCACATATCAATGGACTCATTGAATGGTACTCCGAGTAACATCTCTGGCGCACAGTAACACATGGTCCCCATACAGTCTCCTTGTTTTAACGCTGACACTGGACGTGCCAGGCCAAAGTCAATAAGTTTGACTTTGAGTGGGAGCTGATGTCGGTCCACAACCATGATGTTATGTGGTTTTAGGTCCATGTGCACAAAACCAATGGAGTGCAGGTGGGAAACAGCTGTGGCCACCTGGTGTAGAACAGGCCTCAGCTCTCCAACGGAAAGACCCCACTTGTCTTGCTCCTGCACATATTCATGGAGGCTTTGATCAAGGAGTTCAAACACAGTGCAGATATTCTCCTTGTCAAAGAAAAAGCCATTCCACTGGACGATGTTACAGGTTTCTGAGTCCAGACACCGTAGTCGCGTCAGAATGTCAATTTCCTCCATCGCTGACTGCACAAAGTCTTCCTTGCCCCTGATGACCTTGACTGCCACCGTATTGTTGCTTTCTGTATTGCGGCATTTGGCTACCGTGCCAAAGCTGCCCTGACCAAGGATCTGCTCCACCACGTGGTAACTGCCAAGTGTACTTCCTTTTCTAATCCTGAGGTTGTTTGCCATGTTCATAGGTGTTTTTCCAAAGGATTGTTGGTGGGTGAATTTGCTAAAGNATGATGCATCTCAACCAGCTTTTCTTCTTGGTCTTGGTCTTGGACTACGGTGTCTGAGTCCAGACACCGTAGTCGCTTCAGGGCGGCAATTTCAGAAATGGCTGAGTTCACAAACTCTTCCTTGCCCCTGACAACCTTGACAGCCACCGTATTGTTCGTTTCTGTGTTGCGGCATTTGGCTACCGTGCCAAAGCTGCCCTGACCGAGGATCTGCTCCACCAAGTGGCAACTGCCAAGGGTACTTCCTCTTTTAATCCTGAAGTTGTCTGCCATTTTCACAGGTGTTTTCCAAGGACTGTTGGTGGGTGAATTCCCTGAAGAATGTCTTTCTAAGCTGGTTGAAGCTTGCTATTTAAGCTGGCTTGTGCTTGCAGACGACTGCCTTCTCTCCAACTTGTGTCTGTATTGCCTGAATTCTCCCACATTTAACCACTTTGCTGGGGCTTAGATTGCGTCATCAAGACGTGCCAGGCCAAAGTCAATAAGTTTGACTTTCAGTGAGTGCTGATGTCGGTCCACAACCATGATGTTATGTGGTTTTAGGTCCATGTGCACAAAACCAATGGAGTGCTGGTGGGAAACAGCTGTTGCCACCTGGTGTAAAACAGGCCTCAGCTCTCCAACGGAAAGACCCCACTTGTTTTGCTCCTGCAAATAATCATGGAGGCTTTGATCAAGGAGTTCAAACACAGTGCAGATATTCTCCTTGTCAAAGAAAAAGCCATTCCACTGGACGATGTTACAGGTGTCTGAGTCCAGACACCGTAGTCGCGTCAGAATGTCAATTTCCTCCATCGCTGACTGCACAAAGTCTTCCTTGCCACTGATGACCTTGACAGCCACCGTATTGTTGGTTTCTGTATTGCGGCATTTGGCTACCGTGCCAAAGCTGCCCTGACCAAGGATCTGCTCCACCACGTGGCAACTGCCAAGTGTACTTCCTTTTCTAATCCTGAGGTTGTTTGCCATGTTCATAGGTGTTTTTCCAAAGGACTGTTGGAGGGTGAATTTGCTAAAGAATGTTTTTCTGAGGGCTGCAAGGTGGCGCAGTTGGTTAGCACTGTTGCTTCGCAGCAAGAAGGTTGCCGGTTTGTGTCCCGGTGGGGGCACCGGAATCTTTCTGCGTGGAGTTTGCATGTTCTCCCCATGCAGCGTTCATCAAAGTGGAATGTATCATCAACATTACAATTGCATGTCACTTGTTTCTGCAGAAGGGCAGTGGTTTCACAGGTGAAGTTGTTCTCAAGTGGAGATATTTTAACACACAGTCAGTGACAAGTTCACGCCAAACACACTGGACTCTATGGGGGCATTATTGTAGCAAAACTATTCGTCCATGCGTATAGTAATCTGAAACTGAAGAGTTTCTGAAAATCAGGGTTTCTGTGTCCTGAGCTCAGGCTCACAGAATCGTTCATTGTGGCTGCTACTGCTCTGCTGCTCTGGACCTCACAACATAGCTCCCAGGATCACAGAGACAAACCCCTCCACTGCGATAAGGTGGCAATTCATCGGGGGGATTACGTTTATTTTTAAATGAAAAAACTAAGTGTGGGGTCAAGTCAATTTTTGTGTTTTTTTCTTTCTGCCAATCTGTGGAAGTGCTATATCTTCAAAAATAATGTAGCTGGAGTCCAGAAATTTGGCAGGCTCATTGATATGTACATGTGGTTTTCAGCGGTACAACCCTGATTTCATAGAACAATACAAACCAGTCATACGATGGTGCAAGTTTGGTCAAAACATGTAATTGTTTCTGTCTACTCTGGTATTACTGCATGACTGAAAATGTTTACATACAAACCATTGCCTATTGTCACCACTAGGTGGCACCTTTGTTTCATGGTTGGTAGTTTTAGAGAAAAGTTGTATTAAGGAGATATTCCCTCCTGACAACATATTTCAGTCTCAAAAAATGTCATAATCAATATGTTGTATACGTTTCTAATCTTATTTTCATTCTTGCTATTCATCTTTGGACCTTTCTTTTCCAGATGAAGAAAGTTAACTCATTTCCTGCTCCTTCCTGTAATGAGTCCAAATCAACTGTAAAAAAGGTTAAACGGTGAACATTTTCCTCCACAGCATGTGTTTAACAGTTAGTCTTTTCATTATGACATTGTTTTGTAATGTTGAGACATTTAGTATGTCCTTGGTCCAGTTCTAGGGTTGGGTTTAGGTTTATTTATGGTTGCACAATGATCTAATAAAGGTACACTTTGACCAGCTGTCCTCTCTCTCTTTTTTTTTTTGTGTGTGAAGATGCTCGTAACAGTTCCCCATATTGGACACAAGATGCTGCTAAAACAACCACTCACCATTCTGTTGCTCAACTTTGTAAAACTGTGAAACAAGATATATTTTTGCCACAGCAAAAAAAGTGAACGATATACAGTTTATCAGATATATCAATGCTATATCTACTAATGCATTTCAATGTCTGTCTCTTTGTGTCACTCTTAGGAGGTAGTGAGATCAGGGATTCAGCGATGGGAATCACAAGACGATGCTTTTGTTTTGTGTGTGTGTGTGTGTAGATTGTATTAAATAAATTTTAAAAAGTTAATTTTATACAGTGTATGTGAACTTCTGGTTTCAACTGTCTATATATAGGCCTACATCTGCCTCCAAAGTTGTCCCTGTGTTTAGCTTTTCTCCCTTGAGATCCAGAAACCACATCATATGATTCTATTATAATTCTGTCTGACAATGACATAAGTATTTCAATTACACAGTTTGTTCAAATGCAAGTCTTAGCAACTAAGTTATCATTATTATTGTAAGAAGTAGTATTTTGGATGTAATCAACCTGTCAAACGTTAACTTTTTAGTGAAAAAAACATTATTTGGGCGGAATAAACCTTTACAATTAGAGGTTCTTGGACATGAAGTAGTACTTTCTGTTGAATAGTCCTTGAATAAACCTTTAAAAATAGAAGTGTATTTTGAGTGAAATCTTCCTTTAAAACCGAAAGTTGTGCACGTCAGTGACCATCCTTTGCGGCAGGGGGCGCTGTGTGTCTGCACCTGGATCCGACTAATTAAGGTGAAGGGCATGACTGACACCTCACACTTCTACTGTTCCTCGAAACCTAAGTTAGATCTAAATGAGGCTTTTTAAATGAGAATAAGTTTGGAAGAGAGAAAGAAAATACACAGAAGAGCAACAAGTGACACATTTTCGGTCAGAACTTCGAGTACAGCCTTAATTAACCACCCGTTTAACGACCACGAAGTGACGCGAAAACAACGGACAGACCTTAAAACCCGCCGTTTGTGCGTTATGTCGTGACAAAGAAGGATGAATATCATATTTCTTTCGTTAATTTGAGGTCGAGGCCAATGGAACAAGGATTAAAAACGCATGGACGTCAAGCAACCGCAGAGTGAATCAGCTGTTTCTGTGTTCCTGAACGCATCACAGCAGGTGAGTTCAGAGGATCCAGAAACTCCTGCATGGATTCATGTAACTGCTGCAGGTTTCTACACTTTACCTTCTAATGCAGAACCTTTGCTTGGCCAATGTGTGCATACAGCTTAAGACTAGCCCAGCTGTGTTTATTTGGGAGTTTTATCAGTTTAAATCCTGCACATGTGTAGCTGAAGTTTTACAGAAAAGGCCAAGAAGTCAGTGTTGAGCTGCAGAAATTACAGAGCAGGATTCAAAAACTGCATCATTTGCAGGCTGACAGCAGTAAGACATAGTTTTGAAGATGAAGAAAACAACTGCCAGCTCTTCTCAAAAGAGAATTGTTGGAATGATTTAAATGAGATGCTTTAACTGGTAACATGCAATTGAATTGAGTTTATGCAAATGAAGCTGATTCCATCATTTTAAACTTGATGTACTGAAATCATTTGATTAATCTCAAATGAACATTGATGCACATTGATTTTAAAGAAAGCCACCTTGAAGATTCCCATTTTTCCAACATATTTATTTCCTTTGCCTAAAAGTAAAATGTAAAACATGATTGTATCATCAAACCCATCGTTCTTTTCTCTTCCTAACTTTGTAATACTACAAATGTTGCAAAAGAATGAATTACCGTTTACAAAAATACATATTTTTTCCCCCTTTTTTTTTTTTGCAGTTAATGTGTAAATATTTAAACTTTTTCAGAAATGTTGGTTGCTGTTCTCTGTAATTTAACAGTAAATTGTGCAAAAAATGAACGTTTAAACCTGTTAAATAATGTTCATATTATAGATTGCAGCAGAAAAATTGAAGAAACGTGGATCTCATAACATCAGATTTTCTTTTCGCACCATTGCCGAAACTGGACAACCTGTGTAAAGGGACAAAGTGTAATTTAGAGTTGCTCCTGTTTGATCCTGTTTGGGATAAATATTGGATAAAGCGGGTGCAGTTAATCAATAGATGGAACTTAAAGGTAATTTTGCTACAACATCATTGTATGTAGATCTGTCTGTGCTTCTTCCATGAACTGTATTCATGCAGACAGGAGGAGTTTGGACTAGAAACACAAATTGACTACTGAGATTTGCTTAGTTTGTTGACCAAACTTAAAGTACTTGAATGTGCAGAGCGGCTGTATTTATACCAATAATAGTACTTCAAAAATACACGACCTGCCCATTTATTTCATGACAGCAGAGATGGAAAAAAGGTTCACCCCTGCTCAGTTTTTGCTGTAACACAATGCAGCAGTACCTGGCGCTGATCACCAGCCAAGTAACAATCCATAGTGAGTTCTTTGTAAAGTTTGCGTCATAATTTAATCACGCAATCAGAGAAACAGAAGCTAAAATTATTGCTCCTCTTCGTAAAATCCTGCCTCGTTGTGTTGTAAGCTGGTTTTCATTGTTTTTGGGTCTCATGAGGCTGCAGATAGATTGAAGTGAAACCCAAACTGGACTTTCTGGATTGTATTTCATCTAGTATACGTGTTTGTTTGTTTGTTTGTTTTTTAATGCAGGGCTATTTTT